CCCCGCCGCTGCCTCCCCGCCGCCGCCTCGCAGGGCAAAGGAGACAAAAGGCTCCCGCCCGGCCTATATATACACCCCTCGCGCTGGATCCGCGCACGTCTCGAGCTGGGGCGAGCCTGCAGGCACCTCGCTGCACTCAGACACACTCAGCCTGCCAGCCCGGGGGGCAATGCCAAAATATGCAAAGGAAAAATGCTATTAGCTCATCAGCACTGGGGGGAGCGGTTAGTTAGAGAGGAAACATGTTTCTGGGAAATATTCTGGTCAAAACATCTCCCACAATATGGTCACTGCTGAGGATTTCAGTAAGAGTCAAGGATCCTCAATGCCCTTTTAATTGAGGTAAACCCCTCTGCAAATAAACTCTTGCCTATCCATTTCTGTTTTTCTGCATGAGTCACACGAGAAATGCACCATAAATTTGCCTCCCAGAGTAAGTGTTCATTGAAAAATGTAATTTCACATGGGAGAGACTTAGCTCTTCAGCAGAACAAATAAACCTGGCAAGGCAAGTGTCCCCTAAAGCTATGCTTTCCCTGGAAAAGCGGAGAGAAGAGGAAGGGTTTTGATTTGACTTTTTTCCCTTCCTGCTTTAAAAAATGTATAAACACTGTTTGGATAAATCAGATCAGACTGTTTCACTGTCTGGGAGTAACTAAACATCCATGAAGCACAGACAGACTCCAGACTGGTGTGTTTTCAGTGACTGTTACAGGTGCAAATGTTTGCTAATGAATCATTTCAAAGGAATGGGACAGAATTAGAACAGTCTTCTTCAGCCCTGGTTTGTTTGTGAGGATTTCATGTGACCCTGTCAGTCCTGGGTCAGTGCCACGTTGGAATTTCTTGCCCCAGTTGAATAGATTCTCTTCATTCTCCTACATTTGTTCCACCTTTTCATAGCAGGCCTGCTAACAGTGCGATGCAAAGTTGGTTCTGAACAAATTTGCACCTACTCTTTGAAATGACATAAAAAGTTTCCTTCTATACAGTACTGACTATAATAATTTCAACATAAATATTGGTCTTGACCCTCCAGTACAATGATGCTTACCTAAGTTATCATCCAAGTAATAATATTAATAATAAATAAAACAATACTTTCGTATAACACTTTACTAGGAGGGAGTCCTGTTGGCGTCAGTGGATGAAAAGCACATGCTTTTGCAAGAACTGGGACCCTTTGCTAGAAGAGAAGCACTAAGGCCTTTACCATGCCACAAATGCTAAATAATTTCAGTGGAACTGGTGTTAGAAATGGTGGGAGCCTTAGAGCAGACGAGGCTCTCTCTGCTGGACTGTTTTTTTTTTCAGCATATTGCTGTCCAGCTAATATAATTTAAATCGTGATAAAAATAGGCCCCTCTACACCAGTGGGGATTTTTGTTGTTCTTTGTTGTAAATTTCCATGATAGTCCTGCAACCATGGCTGGCTAGCATAGTGTTTTCTCTCATAAATCATCCCATTGGCTGAAGAGGCTGCTCATGATAGTTTTAAAAATGCTTGCTAGGTAGTGTTTGCAGGATAGGGTCCTAATAGTAAAATATTTGAATGGTCACTACCCTGATATGCACCGGAGAGCTACTGTTAAGCCACTACTATCCTGTTTCTTTTACAGAGGTTTATTTTCATTAAGACAGCTCATCTCAGTCTTTCAGACCTTTTTCAGTGTGATTACTGAATTTTATCCTCTACTTTAGGTCCTGACTGGAACAGTGACTAAGGCAGAGGAAAATGGAAAATGAGGTTTCTGTCTTTCTAATCTTCCCATAAATCTTACTAGTATTACGAATAGCAAATTGTATCCCAATATGTGATATTAGAAAATATTTCCACGCACTCGGATTTTGACCACAACTTTTGTACTTTGCCTGATTACGTAACTGTTTTTCATGAAACTGGAGAAAGCAATAGTTGGGAATAGTGTTGCCCATTTATCAGACATTGTTTATAATTTGTTCCAAAGCACTATTCTTAGTGACTATAGAACTCATGAGTCATGAAAGGTGCTGGCAACAATTTTGGAGAGTGAGAGCCTCTGTTTTTTAGTTATATTCATTCAGCCCAGGTTCTCTCCGTAAAGATTGATAGCATACCTATCCTTGAGGAACAGGACTAAGATCATTAACTTGTTTTCATAGTCTGCTGAAAAGCCCATCACTGGCTCTGAACAAGGAGCACAGAGTTAAAAGCTTCATAGGTCATTACAAATCTCCTAATCCATCCAACCCTCTGGAATTCCCAGTATAATTGCATAAAAACTGTCCAGAAAATCTAGTGTGATAACAGGTATTCAACACATTAGCCTTACTCATATATTTAAATACTGCTTCTCTTTAAATGTTCATGTATTTTACTGGGTCCCAATCCAGTCAGCTGCTTAAGCATGTGCTTACATTTCAGCCTGAGTGGTCCCATTTCAAATTAAAGAGATTGCTCACGTGCATAAGTAACTTGCTGAATTGGGTAAAGATCTATAAGAAACAATAAATAACATTGCATTTCCAAGTCATCATAGCCAGGGGTCAGCTGCTCGCCAAGACATCTTTATAAGCCTCCCTGGATGCACCAGACACTGCTGCTCATTCCATCTCCCTGACAGTTGTCATGAAATAGGCATTTTGGCTCGAGCTCTGTGAGTTTCTAAGGAAGTCCAACATACAAATGCAAACCTTTCTTTTGATAGTTTGAAACTTTTTGATGAGAACACCCATGAATCATTGCACATGTTGAAAGACTCCAAAGCCATGATGGGATCTACACACTTGCAAGTAAATGGCTGATAAAGAGCTGGTCTTACAATGAAGTTCTTTCTGCCATATAATCAGGTTTGTCCCTGTTCCTCAGGCTAGATTTTCAGCTCAAAATCAAGAAATCTATATTGATCATTGTGCAGAGAATAGAATTCATAGGGGCTACTCTGGATTCCTTCCCATGGACAGATTCCTTATCAAATCTGAGCATGAGGATTCAAATAAGCCCACAGACTGGTGATAAATTGTCTCCAACTCTTGTGACAAATGGCTTGTACCTTTTTAGCATGTTATGCAAAGTTATGCCTTCGCTGCTTCTGTGATGGCTCAGAGTAATTTATTCAATGAATAAACACTGGCTAGACTGATAAGTGTCAGTCTGTTGTCAAATAAGAGATTTACTCAGTTTGTGGAAGAATTCTCACAATGTCTGTGCAGATGTCCCCTTTGCCCAAAAAACGGGACTGTGTAGCACTTTAAAGACTAACAAGATGGTTTAATAGGTGATGAGCTTTCGTGGGCCAGACCCACTTCCTCAGATCAAATAGTAGAAGAAAATTGTCACAACCATATACAGGCAGTCCCCGGGTTACGTACAAGATAGGGACTATAGGTTTGTTCTTAAGTTGAATTTGTATGTAAGTCGGAACTGGCTCCAGATTCAGCCGTTGCTGAAACTGATCAGCTGCTGACTACAGGAAGCCCTAGGCAGAGTTGCTCTGCCCCCAGCTTCCTGGAATCAGCCGCTGATCAGGTTCAACAGGAGCCGAAACTCGGATCC